CCGTGATGGTACCTAATATATGTGGGAGGTCGAGGCGGTTTAATGTTTAACAAGCTTGTCTCGCTAGAACAATTACGACTTAGTAGTGAGTTCGATCCTCACTGGGTGCCCCATACTTTCGGCCTTGTGCCACATCTAAGCTACGCTTGGAAAATCACTCTGTGTGTGTGTGTAATTAGCGTATAACAGAGTTGTCTTTTTATTTTTGTTGTCCAGTGTTATTGGCTTGAGTTGTGTCCTCACTAAGTTCCACACACTTGATACATTGGACCAGATACAAGCTGAGTAAATTAAGAAAACATCGGTATAAAAGATTTTCTGATTTTTATCAAACTGATCTTATCGGGATTTGGTCGTGGCCATTATTATTGGGCATCCGTCATCAAGGAATATTGTAAATTATCTTTTATAGCGCTTACGGCCATATTTCGTTGAAACAATGGTTCCCTTACGATCACCAAAGGTAAGCAAGGTCGAGCCTAATTAGTACAATTTTATTGCTTTAAGTCTCTTCATCTTTGAGGGGATGGTCCAGAATTCATTGCCATGGAGGAGGACAAATATCACGTAACTGTTCAATACTCTTTTTTTTTTTCTGTTTCGTAATACTCTACTTAGCTTGTGGAAGGCATCTTTGGCCATCCCAATGCGTCTTTGAATTTCAGTGACGCACATTTCGTCCTCTGTTCCCAGATATTAAAATTTTTGTACTTGATTGATTTTGGCATCCCCAATTTGTAATTTGCATGTTGGTCTGACCCTTTTGCTAACAGCCATGAATTCCGTCTTCTTACAGTTGATGTTTAATCCTTTCTTCTCGCTTTTGTTCACTAGCCTCTGTAGGACTTTTTTGTCTTTTTTCCGTGTCTCCTATCAACGCTGTGTCTTTTTTCCGTGTCTCCTATCAATGCTGTGTCTTTTTGCTATTTATCCTCAACCCCTTTCCGCCATTCATTTACACAAGTTCACTAAGTTATTCGTTGTTTTCCTCTGTCCCCCTTGTTTTTAGTCTGCCCTCTGGGTGTCAAATTTCCCAAGCCCTCTTTCCTCATTATGTTCACTAAAAATTTCAACTGTCTCTTCCTGATATTAAGTATAAGTGTCCTTTTTGTTTCCATTTTCTCTAGAATTTCGTCGTTGCTTACATATTCTGTCCATGGTGTCCTCAACATCCTTCTGTAGAACCACATTCCTGTTGATTCAGGTCTCGTCTTCATATTTGAGGAAATTGTCCAACATTCCCTGCCGTATAGGAGGACAGATATTACATAACAGTTCAATACTCTTTTCTTTGTTTCTAACGAAATTTTTCTGTCTCTTGATACTTTGCTTGACTTTTGGAAGGCACCTTTGACTATCCCAGTGTGTCTTCGGATTTCAGTGTCGCACTTTTCGTCCTCTGTTCCCAGATATTTAAATTTTTGCACTTGATTGATTTTGGCATCCCCAATTTGTAATTTGCATGTTGATCTGACCCTTTTGCTAACAGCCATGAATTCCATATTCTTGCAGTTGATGTTTAATCCTTTCTTCTAGCTTTCCTTCACTACCGTATTACTTATCAGAATTAGAATAAAAACCCAGTCTTAATTATATGATTCTACCAATAACCCATTAACACTCACTGTCCAATTTTATTTAATTATGCCACAGCATCGGTCCCCCTTTGGTTATCGGCGGGTTCTTGTGCGTAGAGGGTGAATAAAATAAAATTTCTGGGCATGTGCGTTGCAGAGGATCCGTTATGGACCAGCAACGCCATGGCGTTAGTCAAGAAGGTGCAACCGTGACTGTATACTGAAAATTTCATAGAAAAATATAATTTACAGACGGAGCTGATGAAGACGTTCTACCTCTGCTCTAGTGAGAGTGTGATACTCCGCAGCGGACGGGGTTTTCTTCCAAGAAAGTTACAGATGTTGCCCCGAAAATGATCGGCTTCTCGCTGCCCCATTCTTGGTGGACATTTCCAATTCCCGTTGAAGACAGCCCACATCCCGGGTACCGCCCGTTTGAACTGTTACCCTCAAGACGACGCTTTTAGATTTATTAGTATCTAGGACGAAGCGCATGAGGGACAATTTTTATTCTTGAGTCCTGCATAAAATGAACGCCATCTCATGCTGGTCATTTTATCTGTGTGTGTGTGTGTGTGTGTGTGTGTGTGTGTGTGTGTGTCTGGGGTCTGCTGTTCAATTTCATTGTGAATTGCACACTGACAAGAAGAATAAATAAATAAATATACTGGGTGTCCGTAAAGTTCGTGTGCACTTTAAAAAATTTATAACTTTATTTGTATTTGCGATAGAAATAATCTGTAAAAAATTTTATAAAGTTTAATGTACCTAGTTTTAAGTATAGCTAAAATAACTAATGTGATTTCAGGCATTACTGTAAATCAGTTGGCAAATGTTTTCCGTGAACTGCAAAATCGTATTACCCTTTGTATTGCTAATGATGGAGGACATGTGGAAACTTAAATAAAATTTCAATGAAACCTTAAAAAATATACTTATTTACTTCTTTCTAATCCTTTTTACAAATTATTTCTATCGCAAATACAAATAAAGTTGTTATAAATTTTTTGAAGTGCACATGAACTTTATGGACATCCTGTATAATAATTTTATTTTATTATTATTTTAGCGTAGAAAGACTCACTACCTGTCGCCACCCGACTTAAAACACATCAGAGACGGGACTGATGCTAGATTATTTCTGAAATGAAATGTTCTTCTTGTGGTATATTTCGAAGCTAATATTTTAAATTATAGATTTCAGAATATAAGAAATCAATTTAGTTAATTAAAACAAAAATTCTCTAAATATTATTCTGCCGATCTTTATATATTAAAAAAGAAGTATTTTTTTTTTAATTAATCATTTCCAAATAAGTCTTCTCCTCCTGAATCGATTATTAATTTTTATTTTTGGGAATGAATCAATAAGCTTGTACTTTGACACGTCGTTAACTGAATTTTGGTTTGAAATTGAATATTCGATGGGTGTGATCAATAGTTACCAGTGAATCAAGTGCATTAACAAGGAAGATTATTGGGAAAATAAATTCTATCATAAATAAACATATATTTATCTGTCATTTCCCATGGTTCAACGGGACTACATTATAACATTGACTTTTAAGTTTTTTTTTTTGTTTTGTCTTTTGTAAGCTTCTTTTGCTGTGTGTGTGTGTGTGTGTGTGTGTGTGTGGAAGAGGCTATCTTGCCGGTCTCGGTAAAATAGATTTCCAGGCTATTTCGCCGTTAAATATTTTATATTATTATAAAGGCTGGTAATGCTAAAAATAACAACACACAAATTTAACACAGAAGTTTATTTATTTTTACCACCAATTTAAAATCTTTCCCACCATCAATTGTTAAAACACAAGTTAAAATCATTTATTCACCATGAATTATTAAAAGAAATGTAGAAGTGTCTGAATATTTTAAACACTTCAGGCATAAGGGTCTCAGCAAATTGAAAACTTGCCATTAGCCATGCAAATACACTTCAGGTAAACCCACTGAAGGCAACAGTCAGAGACCACAGAATCCATGTTGTTCAAATCTTGCCTAGACAGCTCACAAAATCACTGCGCTGACGATCTCAAATATAATATATTCTTAATTCTAAAGCACTATATATATTTACCGACAAAATAGCATTGGTGTCTGTCTTACCTGGACCGGCAAAATAACATTGGTGTCTATTTTAGCGGGATTGGCAAAATAACCCTTGGAGTCTATTTTACCGGGACCGGCAAAATAACCCTTGGTGTCTATTTTACCGGGACCGGCAAAATAGATTTTTTTTCTTTTTTAGATAATAATTGTTTTAGTGATATAAGTCTTACTAATTTACCCATAACCAGAGTGAGAAGTGGATTCATGCCTTTTCAAAGGGTATTTGCGCGTAAGTGAATATACCGAAACCAACTGGAATTGAAACTCGACCTTCTGATTATCCATTGCACCACCCGCACATCCAAACTTACAGCAACTGGTATTCCCAAGCGGTCACCCGTCTAGGTACCTATCAGGATCGATATGTAAAAAATATTGTATATTTCTTTCTTTGGTAAGTATTTTTATAGAATGTAAGAACTATTTTTTTAGATACTAATGATTTAGTGATATAAGTCTTACTATTTAACCCATAGCTGAGAAGGGGGGGAGAAGATGTAGACTCATACTTTATCAGAATTTGATAAAGAAACAAGAAATTATATGGACATAAAGTGGGGGATCAATTCTATATTACAGTCAGTATTTAAACTGACCACTCACATTGTGGCCATGTTAGTTTCAATACATTTCTATTCCAGAGAATGTAAATAAATCTAAAAGACATTCCTTGTGTAGCTAATCAGAATTTCATTGATTGATTCGTTTTCTATGGATTATCAACCTTTTGCAGGTTATTTAAAGCCAGAAAATATTTTTAGATTATGAAAATTTTCTTTTTTAAGATCATAATGGTTTTATGATATAAGTCTTACTAATTAACCCATAGCTGAATAGAAGATGTGGATTTATATCTAATCAGAATCTGATAGACAAACAAGAAATTATAATATAAAGTGAGGGATCAATTCTATATTAAAATCAATATATAAACTGATCTCTCACTTTGTAGCCACGGTATTTTTATACATTTATATTCCAGAAAAAGTAAATAAATCTAAAAGACATCCCTATATAGCTAATCAGTATTTGATCGATTGAGTGATTCATTCATTTTCGACGGCTTATCAACCCTTTGCAGGTTATTTAAAGCCAGAAAATAGTTTTAGATTGTAAGAATTTTTTTGGAAATAACAATTTAATGACACACGGCTTACTAATTAACCCATAGCTGGGGAGAGAAAAGGTAGATTCATCTTTCCCAAGGGTATTTGTGCGTAAGAGAATATGAAGAACCCAAATGGAAATGGAACCCGGCCCTTTAATGAAAAATTTCGAACCATCATCCATTACACCATCCGCACACCCAAGCTTACAGCACTTGGTATTCCCCAATGGCCACCCATCTAGGTACTGACCAGGTTCGACGTTGCTTAACTTCGGTGATCATAGGGGAACCTGATATTTTAGAGTAGAAAGGAAAGCTGGAAAATCGACTTAAGAATTTGGGGGAAAGATTGATAGATGCCTAAAGAGAGAAGCAGAAAATGGAACTGACAAGCAGTTCGAATCTCGGCCTAGTCTGTTGCGTTTATTTCGCATTATACTTTTAGAAAAGGCACGAATCTATTTCTTCTCTTCAGGGAAGACAACGGTAAACTACTTCCCAGTCCCTACCCTCCGTCAAAAACATTATGCCAATTAACTAAATAATAAAAAAGGAATACGTGGAGAGTCATGATCGTCTACGTTTTGAAGCGATATGGCATAAAAAGTGACTAGGCACCCTGCAGGCGGTACCTCCCCCCCCCCATTGCACGAAGGAAAATAGGATCAAGATGATGTTTTAATAAAACTAGATTTTTTTTTGCAAATATCCACATAAAATAACCATGGATACGCCTTCTGTTGTGTCCATGTGCCAGACTATGGATAACTTACTTAATACATTTTTAGTGCTTGCCATAGAACCATGGTTAGTATTTACTCTGGAGACTGTTAGCATAGTCGATAGAACCCCGCCGAAGTACCGCCAGTCACAATGAACGAATATCCTCTAAGAGAGGCGCTGTACCTATTGAGAGACTATTGCGCCTTAAATTCACACCTGACCTCAAGTGGAACTCGCACATATGAGCCATCGCTAAAGATGCAGGAAAAATGGTCGTCTCCCTGTACCATTCCTGGCTCCTGCTATCCTCTACCTTTCACCATTATCTTCCTTCGACTTTCCTATGGTTGTTCGGAACTCCATTTACAATCCCTTTCCATACTGTTCGGTCCTGCATCGCAGTCCCCAGATCCCCAATGACCAACCCTGGGTTCCGAGTTATGGTGTCTGGGAAAGCCAATTTTCATAAGAAGACACCTCTAGAACGATGCCATAGGAGTAAGGATGAGACGATTTCCCTGTCCGCTCGGTGGCAGTGTCCGGCAAACTGTAATCGTTTTTGTTTCGGTTTTAGAGAGATTTGGTCTCAGTTCTCCGTAAATTGTATTAAGCGTCGCATGGGATCTCCAACTTATGTTCTGGATTTTTCTAAGTAGATTTGTACATGTTTCATCCAGTCGTCTTTCAAGACGAGCAGATAATGTCCAAGTTTCTGATCCATACTGTAGGACTGGTTCAATCAATGTACGAAAGGTTTGGACTTTTAAGTAGGATGGAAGATTCGAGCGCCAAATCTTGTGAAGTTTGTTACACGCATCCCATGCAAGAGCTTTGCGGATGTTGAAGTCTTTTTGGGAATTTATTATATGAGGTCCAAGACATTTGAAGTCCTCAACTCTTTTGATGGACGTAATATTGAGTGACTTCAACTCGGATGGTTGTAATATATTCTGTCTTATTTACGTTTCAATAGAGACCTAACTGGTTTGCTGCTTGCTTAAGTGAATGCAGCAAGGATTCTGCATCTTTGATACATTGAGAAATTACTGCAAGATCATCGGCAAAGTCAAGGTCAGTCAGGTATTGTGGAAGGTACCAAACTACTGGGTTCAGGTTTTAAACGGAGAATCTTTTTCTTGAGATTGTCGATGAAATACCCCAGAGTGCACTATAAACAGAAAAAAAGCAAGTGTGTCACCTTGTAAAACTCCTGCTTTCAAAGAAATCAGTCTCGCCATCGGGTGATAGGACTGGCAGTGGTGTTTCTCTACAGAAACCTTTACAAGAGCCAGATCAAGCCTAAAATGGAGTACTCTTGTTATATTTGAACAGGGGCTGCACGGACCGCACTCTCCAGTCACGATAGTCCAAAAACGTCTCCGAGTCTTTTGTCGGTGACAAATTATTTTCCACCCTCCAACTCTTCTCTCACAGGCGGGATGTGACAAGCCTTTCACTGCTATATCACCGTGGAAAGTGCTCGGGTGAATTACATTCCTTGGTTCCGCCAGGTTTAACAAGGACCCACCATGCCACTTACATTATAGCAAATAACCCACATTCCCTCTGTATACCGTCGGGGAGAAGTAAATTCTACTCGATCAGCTTCCTCCCGCGGACAACTGCTCTGTGGAACAGACTCCAAAGAGGATGTTTCCTCGTTTCCCTACAATCTTAACCTGATCAAGGATTAATCGTTATCTTCATCTCCTATACATACAAACTGCCTCTTAACGTAACCCTCTACCTTGAGCGGCTCCCGGGCCTTGTACAGGGTGAACTATACCGTAGAAAATTCCTTACAAGCATCATTGATATATATTCAAGCACAGGGTAAACAAAACAAGGTTTCTCCTGCTACGATTCAAGACAGAGAGGTAGGCTCTCCCCACTTTTAAAATTAGCACAATACGATCTTTCTATTCCGACTTCAAACTGTTCGTTTGGCCTTTCGTAGATGCATTGGGAAAGCAAAAAAAT